CATTAATTCCTCTCCAAATACTCTCCCCTCACTTCAAATACCCTTATCTCATGGTTCTTAGCAGTTGCTGAAGCAGTTCTGGAAGTCCATTCTCCTGAATGCCTTAGTTGTGCTTTTGTAGCTGCATGAATGTCCTGAACACATTCAAAGCATTCGCTTTTCATCCTCTTTGGGGACTTTGGGGAGGACTCAGAAGTTGCATGTTGCCAGATCCAGTAAGTAAGGTGGATGAGGATGCTCTCTGGTATTTTTATAAGCCTGGCTGCCCTTTGGATGGTACCCAATAGCAGCATTCACTGTACTTTGGGTCATACCTCATAGAAACACAAAAGAAGACTTCTAGAACTGGATCAGAAAATGTCAAGAATTATGGGTAAGTGATTTTGAAGTGAGAAGGGTAGTGTTTGAGAAGAATTAATGGCAATGCATCCTTTTGGGTTTGGACTCTTTCTTTCTTTCTTTCTTTCTTTCTTCCTTCCTTCCTTCCTTCCTTCCTTCCTTCCTTCTTTTCCTCTTTTCTTCCATTCTTTCTTTGTTTTTGGTGCTAGGGATCTAACTGAGAGGCCCTGTCATGGTTCATGTCGGTGGCCCCCAGGCCTCAAGTGTTTGCATTATGTATTTGTGGTTGGTTCATTGTCTAGAGCTTACATTGATGGTGTCAGTGCTACACCCACATAGGGGTGGAGCTAGTATACAATATAATGGCAGGAAAAAGGCGTGTCTCTCTTTGTTGGTGGTTTCCACCTAGCTGTTTGCAGCTGCCATAAACTGTGCCCCGACAGGCCACCCTGCCTTATAGCCAACTAAATGTAGACTAAAACCTCCAAAAACTATGAAAAATAAACCTTCCCTTTCCCAACTTTGGACATCAGATATTTTGTCTCAGTGACAAATAAAAAATAACTAAGACGGCCCCTATATAACATGTGGACAAGTTCTCTACCACTGAGACACATCCCCAGTACTCTGTAACTTTTATCGTAATAAATTTTTAAAGTTTAAACATTCATTCGACATTTCCATTACCTCTTAGACGTCTGGCTTCACTGAGTGAATCCTTTTAGTAAAAGAAAAATTTTTTCTACATTTGGAATAATATACAATCAACTTCCTGGCTTCTAAAGGATTCTGAATTTGTAGGAAGTTAAAGCAAGGTGGAGAAAGTGAGAGGGAGAGAGCTCTGTGGGGAAGGGGCTTGTGAGTAGCTGTATGGGGAGCTGCTAAGGAAAGAGGCTGAGACCTGCAGATAAAGTGTGCTTCTGCTAAAACTGCACCCCAACCTTCACATGCCTGTAAATACCCTCAGACTCTGACATACTCTCTTGCATATGACCGAGAATCAATCCTTAAGTATATCTGCCCTAAATTCTCTTTGCATTGGTGGCCAACAGAGGGAAGAAGGAGAAACGATCTGCTCTCCTATGGAGAGACATTATGAAGTAGGCATGTGACTGGCCCCGCTCCTCTTTGCCCTGGCCGTTCTGCTTTCTGGTCCCCCACATCTCAGCGTTAGGCACAGTGTGGTACAGATGCAGAAGAGGCAGGGAAGAGGGCCCTGCCGGCCAGGACTGAGTGTCCTGCTGAGGAGAAGCAGTAATTAGAAGTGGGGAAAGGCACTGTTTGCTACCAAACCTTCACCCCAGTTAGTCCCTTCCACTCCCCGTATAATCAACCTTTAAACAACGCTAAATCCTGTATTTAGAGTCACATGGGGGATTTATGGTGGGAACTGGAGGACCTGAGAAACGCTGCCTTGACTTTAACTCTTTCTTATGCAGGCCTCTGTGATATAAACAGCAAGGGTGGGAAAGATGGGGCAGCACTGGCTTTGGGTGTCTCTGGCATTTTTCCACATTTTTTCTTGTTTTTCACACTTTTCAATCACTGGTCATCTCCCTTTGGATCCCTAACTTTTCTATCTTATTCTATTTTAATTTTTCTCTGCTTCTCCAATTCCTGGGTTTCACAAGGAACCACACCTATTACATGTGTGAGCACCTCAGGGATGGGTGTGCACTGGGATTGGGTGTGTGTGCCCACATTTACATGTTTGTGGGGCTGTGCTGAGCCTCCTGACAGAGCATCCCTGAGTTTGCCTGAGATTTCCTGTGAAATATCTTCACATTATACATATATATTCCCTTCTTTGATCACTTAAAACTCTCGTGAAATGCACAAAGCCTCCCTCAGAGAGCAAGCAAAGCCTCTTATTCAGAGCCTGCTCTGAATACTTGAATACTTGAATGTGGAGCAGAGGCGAAGACAGGGAAGGTGGGACCACTGTCCAGGGCAAAGGGAGGCTTCAGGTGTGCCCTGATGGAGGTGGCTACATGGGAAGCTGCAGGCAGATCTGTCTAAGTGGAAGCACCACATCCTATGTGACTGTTAAGACACATATTTGGCCTCCTCTGCTTAGTCCTTAGCTGACAAAGAAAAAAGAAAAATCAGGCAAGTTTTCAGTTATTAACCAAAAACTAGCTATTTTGAGTCAGTTGATACAGGGGCCATTGTTTGGTATCCTGTGTTTTCCACAGGGAGTAGATCAGCGTCTTGAACTTACTGGTAGAGCTTGTGGGTCAGAGTTCCTCATACATGCTTTTATATATGGTCTGGCCACTGTCCAATAGTGCAGTTTCTCAGTCTCCTCCTTTGATCATTCTCTTACTCCTGAGAAGCTGAACATCTCATAACAGTTAGCGCCCCAGGTTTTCAGTGCTCACATATCATTCAGTCATCTGAACAGTGAGCACATTCTTTGTATTAGGGTCCAACTGACTAACCCGAACTGCATCACCAAGCATAATTTGGGCAAATTATTTACCTCTATACCCCACTGTTATAGTGAACGCATGCACAAATCCATTCAAGATGAGGGAAGAACAATCTGAGGATCTGAGACTATGCTGAGGTGGTGGCTGATACCATAAAAATTGAAATGGCTTCCAGAATAATAAAAAAATAATGCCTTTCTGAACTCTAGATATTTTTCTGAGAGGATTAAGTGGTTACAAGACACCAGGAACAGAACCTGCCAGAGTTAACAATGTTCTAGAATCTAACAATTCTCTGCAACCTTCACCAGAAACATGATTGCCTGGATTTAGAAAATTTAACAATCTCACTTTCAAATCACTGAATTTACCTTGATTGTGCTTGTCTTCCCAAAAGATTGCTCCTTTTCATTATAAAAGCCTTAATTTTGCTGCACTTTGGTGAAACATTTGCCCAGTTTGTGAACGAGCCCTTGTTTTAGATTACAAATGCATTTTGCACTTGAAGAGATTATGTTTGCTTTACTTGAACCTGTTTATAATTTCTGGTTTTGCAAGCCTGGGGAGCTGCGTGGACTACAGTAACCACGCAGCTAAGGTAGTGTCACGACTCACCCTCCTTACCCCAATGCCACGTCCAACTCCACATACACAGGAAGTGAGTTTCATTACAGTTGGAAACCACATAGCAATGCTACCTTGAGTTTCCTGAAAGAATTTTGTTCTTCCCACCCAAGGTTCCCCTGTGGTCTTCTTACTCTCTCTTTCCTCCCTGAGACTTCAAGAAAGACTGCTAACTTCAGCTCAGGGTTTTAGCAAAACAAACGTGTGGCATTTCTGGACTCCACTCCCTTCAGGAAGAATTCAAAGATGCCATTCAAACAGACCCTTTGGAGGTATCTGGCCAGCCACGGGCACATCCAGAGCCAGGACCCACTAGGCTCTCTTGAGCTCTCACACATCTTACTTTATCTCCACCAAACAACAAACCTAAGAAGTATACAACATCTTCATTGCAGAAAAGAAGAAACCGAGGAACACGGAAATAAATGTCTGTGAATTGCTTAGCTCATACTGTGCTGAACCAGGGTTTGGACTGAGGCAATTTGAATTCAGAACATGGAAGAATATTTCTATATTTCTTTTTCTATGTACCAAAGATTTTTCTCAGAAAAAATAAGTCTCTTTCTAAGTTGTAATTATGCTGGCTAAGATAATAATAATAATAATAATGATGATGATGATGATGATGATGATGATGATGATGGAGGTAATTGTTTAAAAGGAAAAAGGAACTAAGAGTAGGGTAAGGGGAAACGAAGGAAGGGAAAGGGAGAAAAAGGCACGGTAGCTATACGATTACTGTCCCTTTGTTCATTGCAAAGGAAGGTCCATGCTAATATCAATCAGAATTTTTATAACCATATCTTATACTCTAAGTAATTACTTTGAAGATAACAATATGCAATGTGTTAACTATTGTTATTCACCTAACATTTTGTTATGAAACTTTGTTTTCACTAAAAAATAATATATAATAAAAGTAACAATATAAAATTATATATATATATTTTATATGTATATAACAATATAAAATTATATATTTTAGTTTATGTTTCATTCCCTCATCCAGGTCTGACTGATAGGGTCAGTGTCATTGATTAAAAATTGTCCAAGCATGTGCAATGCTCAGGGAAGGCATGGAGGGGGTGGAAAGTGGTGAGTAGACCCACCCTAGATCCCTCTTTGTCCTCCCAGTCCAGACACTCTCCCTTCTCCAGGTCTGGGAGAGCTTCTGGCTGAAGGCAGAGAACTCCAGTTCCTCTCTTTCCTCCCAGCAGAGGTGCTGCTCGGAGATGTGGAACTCTGGCAAAAAGCATTTCAAGGCGCCTGAGGAGGGAGGGCTTCCCTTGCCACAATCACCTTGACCTGCCCCTTCACCTGCCCCAAGTGAAATAGCAGACAGAGTCACAGGACTTTGTTGAGTGTATGTGGCTTGGGTGCCCGAGCTGTAGTGGCTTTCTCTGCACTGCCTGTCATCAGCAGACAGATGAGGTTCATGTGGGAGAGAGATCTGCAGGTAGATTCCCTCTCTCCCCAGAAAGCCTGAACAGGTGTTTGCTTGGGCCATTCCCTACCCTTTCCACACAATGTTTTTCTTTTTATCTGATTGGAAACCAAAATACTCCTCCCACCTTTCTTGATAGCCAAATCCCTTTGCAATCTATATAAAGACCTTGCTCCCAGGACTGAGTGCAGAAACTGATCTTCCTTTCTAGAGACCCAGGTAAGTAGTCTCAGGTCTCAGGAGGGCTGGAGAAAAGGAAGCTAAGGAGGCTGGTGCACTGAAAAAGCTTGGCTCTCACTAACAGCAAAAATACTTGGAACAGGGAACCATTTGCTGGGGAAGAGGGGGTAAGGGGCTGGGTAGGAACGGGCAAGTGCAACTGCAGAAAGTGATGGGCTACAGGAGAGCCCCAAAGGTGAGAAAAGCCGGGCTATCTCTTTGGCATACAGTAGAACCCCTTTAGGATGCCAGACACTGCACTGAGTTTTCTTTGTGCACTAAGACAATTGTGTCTGTCGCCCATCATCCTGAATATCACTGCGATAGCTTAGTGATAAAATCTGCCATAATTGCTTCACAGTTTGTTAAGAATGATTTTCTGATGAGCTGTTTGAATACTGGGGGAAATGTATTTTATTTTTCAAATTTATTTTAGGTGGAAGAAAATCCAAGATTCATATGTGACCCTGCCAGAATTTTAGATGACATTAAATCATCTATCCTCCCCTAACGGGGAGGATAACTTCTGTTAACTAGTACGAGTGCAATGCACTTAGAGAAACATGTGCACGAGTGTGTAATCACTTGGAAAACCTTTCCGGAAAAGACATGCCTTTCCGGAAAGGGTGACTGTATCCTGGGAAGTAGCAGAAGGGAGCCAGAGTTTAATTGGTCAAGGCACGCTCTTGCTTCCATTTCCTTTTCCCATGTAGGCTCTCCCAGGACACCAAGGTCACCATGGAGAAGTGCCTTGTCCTGTTCCCACTGCTTGTCCTGGTGCTGCTGGGACTGGGGTGGGTACAACCTTCCCTGGGCGCAGAAAGCTCGGCTATGAAGTTTGAGCGGCAGCATGTGGACTCAGGCGGTTCCTCTAGCAGCAATGCTAATTACTGCAATGAAATGATGAAGAAACGGGAGATGACAAAGGACCGCTGCAAGTCACTGAACACCTTTGTGCATGAGCCCCTGGCAGAGGTGCAGGCTGTCTGCTCCCAGAGAAATGTCTCCTGCAAGAACGGGCAGACCAACTGCTACCAGAGCTACTCCAGCATGCACATCACAGAGTGCCGCCTGACGAGCGGCTCCAAGTTCCCCAACTGTTCATACCGCACCAGCCAGGCGCAGAAGAGCATCATCGTGGCCTGTGAGGGGAAACCGTATGTGCCTGTTCACTTTGACAATTCTGTGTAGCCCTCCACCTAAGCCAGAGCAGCAAGATGCCTACCCCACCCCTGGTCATCATTTCAGCACCTGCCTTTCCCCTCTTCTTTCCTTGCCCCAAAGGAAATTACTGCCTTTAAGGCTCCTGTCCAACACACACAAACTCCCCTCGCCTGTGTCCTGCTCCTGCATGGTCTTGGGGCTGAGGAGTGGGTGGTGTGTGGGCCCCGTATTGACTCTTTAACTGCTTCTTTCAATAAAACACAGTGATAGTCACCCAGCATCTATTTCTGTGACTGCTTCCTGGGGAAGAAGAAGACATTTAAATCTGACTCTTTCTGGTGAACAGCAAGTGAATTTAAACCCTTCCCCCTTCAGACTGAGAAACTGGTTCAAAGAGGGCATGAGAAAATTCTTTCTAATAGATTCCTTTGTGTCACAATCAAATCTTTGAAATATGTACTGTTTTATTAGAGAAAGGGAGCTACAGCTGGGTGCATTGTAGCGCTGAGTAAACCGACAATGGTGCAGCTGGGATGCCCTAGTTCTCTGGCCTGGGAGGGACAGCTTTAGCACAGGAAAGCCCTGCACTGCTTCAGCGGGGAAAGGAGGACTCTGGAACTAGGATCCTAGGTTCCAAGCTTCCCCTGGGCATGTTGGAAATCGCCTCCTATGCCCTTGGCTCCTGGGACTGAATGGAGGTTGCTAGGCCCACAGGACCCCCCAAGCCACCTCTGTTGTTCCAGGAAGCTGGGCAGGCTCCTAACCACTGTGGGTGATGGTCCAAAGCTCTCCCTGGGCTAGCACTGAGGTGCTGGAACTCACCTCATGTGGCCTCACTCCCTGGGTTCAAAGAAGGTCGCTGGACGTGGCCTAGTTAGGCCCCAGAAACATGCTGAGCCTAGTCCAGTGTGTCTGGAAGCTGGGCGGGCACTTAACCACTGGGAGTGATGGTCTTAAAGACTCCCCAGGCCCACGCCCTTGCGCTGAATCTCACCTCCTGTGGCCTCAGCTCCCCAGCTTCCCCAGAAGTTCTTTAATAATGCCTTTGTATGTAGAAGCTTGAAGTTAAAGAATTTGCTGAGACTATTTAGTGGAAAAGGTAAGACAAATTCCAGTTCAACTAGATGCGTATTGAGGGCATCTTTTGTGCTACCACTTGGAGTGCTTTGAAAATGTCTTCCTTCTGTTACTTTCCTAAGTCAGTTGCTGGGGAAACCATTAAAAATTTGTGACTAACGTGCTGTCAAATGAGAATTCTCTGTTCCTTGGCATTGTTACGTTTGTGTCTTTTAAGATCGAGAAATATTAGAAAGTTTCCTTTTTCTTCAAATATTTCAATAATCCCAATAAGTCAAGGTACTAAAAATTTGTTAGTTTGCAAACACTCATTTACGCTCCCTGACTGAAAGATGTTTCATGTGTTCATTATAATAAAGAACAGATCTACAGGAATCTAAAAGGACTGTGCTATGGGATTATTTATTTTTCCTCTTTTTCTCTTAATTTTTTGCTAGTCGATAAACATGCACACACCTTAAGACCCTTATACCTGCTGCTTAAAGACCAGCGCTCACTTCTTCCCTGACCACAACAAAGAAACCTTTGCTTCATTTGCCCTGGAGGATGTGGTTCATCTCCAAACTCACTCTCATTTCTTTTCCCTTTGGAAACAAACAGAAAAGCAGAGCTAGACGGTGTTAATAGCTGGCAATGGGAGAAATGTGTGGATGTGAGCACGTGTGTGTGTCTATACGTAAGACTAACTTGAAAACATTTGGATGACAGGAGATACAGGGAGAAATCTTACAGAACTTCCCTTATCTGACTAAAGCACAGCCTCCCCAAAATATAAATAACCACCACTGGTTCCCTCCAAAGGAGTCCCCAGGCTGGAGATAGTCCAAGACAACTGTGAAAATAAACCTTATTTGAATTTGACTCAGGCTGCACGTGGGAACTTGCTTCAGTGATGTTAGAAGTTAAAATTGAGGTAATGGCATCGATTTACAGGCAAAATCTTTAATTAGGAAAAATGAGAAGGAACTTCATAGTGAAGGAAGAAAAACAGAACGGGGCACCATTCTGACAGACAAATCAGACTGGCCATTGAAAACACGGATATAGCTTTTAAAGGTACCTTAAGATGTTGCACGACTCATTGATCATTTGTTTACCAAAAAAAAAAAGAAAAACTAAAAAATATATTTGAAATGCAACTCCTGTACCATCATCCCCCAAAATAAAGGCATCACTAGGGTAGGCTATCAGATGGTAATTTTCCATTGGATCACAAATATAGTGTTTTCTGAGACATTTTTCTTGTGTGACAGGGGATTTCCTCCTATTGTAGGATATGGCTATGCCCTCTTCTTGTCCTTATGTCATTGGGTGGGACATGAGAAGGTCGCCCAAGGAGGAGCTGGGAACCTCGCTTCACCCCACCTATGAGTAGGTTGTGAGTTTGCAGACTTCTATCACAGAAAAAGAATTTCTAAGACATGTCAGCAGTGAGAGATGTAAAAGGTTTATTAGTCAGAATTTTAACAGAACACATCCAGAAAGAATGGAGTACAGGCCCTCAAAATGGAAGCACCACCCTGCCTTGCAAGCAGGCAGTCGTGAGTTCGATCCCTGGTACCGATAAAAAAGAAAAAGACAAAAAAAAAAAAAAAAAAGAAAAAAGAAAAAAAAAAGAAGCACCATGGTCCGTGGCTGAGGGCTGTGATCTTCAGGTGTCCCCAGACGGTGGACTAGGTGTACGTTTCTGCTGTCTGTCTGCCAGGCTGCACACTTGGTGGGGCAGGTCAGACTAAACCATTCACATGTTTAGAAGTTTAGAAGTACACTGGCCACTTCAGAGTGCTGCGCTTTTGAAGAGGAGTGTCTGTGGGAGGAAGCTCAGTGTACAGGTGAAAAGTACAGGCTCCGATTTACAGACTCACTGCGTCTTTAAGATTCTTAGAAAAGCTTTTAGTGTTTTCAGTGTTTCCTGGAAGGGAAAAGGCATTGTAGCCTTGGGTAACTTTTTGTCTTTAGGAAGTTTCTCTTTGTTTCTGTTTTCTCTTGCTTTGTAAAAGTTGCTTTATTTTCCTAATTGAGAATTTTTAGTTTTATTTGTACATTTTTGTGGTACATAACGGTTACACCCACCATGGAGAGGTGGGACATGCAGCCTCTTAATTCTCACGTTAGAACACATGCTGCTAGAGGGAGCTCACATCTTAATTCTTTTTACTTCCTCCTCTTCCCCCTCTCCCTTGCTGTCACCTCTTTGTTCCATTTCTTCTCTTTTTTTTTTTCTTTCTGTCTCTTTTCTTCTCTTCCTTCCTTCCGTTCTGTTTTCTTTCTTTTTTTGTTTTTGTTTTTGTTTTCTGAGTCTCACTGTGTAGCGCAGACTGGCCCAGGCTGGCCTCAGTCTGGTGACAATCCTCCTGCTTCAGCCTCCTCAGTGGTAAGATCACAGGTGTGTGCCGCCATGCCTGGCTCCTCACAGGTTTTCTTAAACACACAATTTAAAGAATATGATTTTTTAATTTCCTTTTTATATCCCTTTTATCCTACTTTATTTGGTGATGAGCACTGCTGTTACAGGGCTCCTGGTTCTTGAAATTAAAGAGCAGAGGAAGAAAAAAAGCACATTCTATACATAGTGTTTGGAAGGGAGGACAGGAACTAAGATGCCTCTGCTTTTAGTGGAAGAGAGATCACGGGTTAAGACCTGAGAATCTTTGTCTTGTCCTCATGAGGATCCCTATCCTGTCTCAACCTTCTATTTTGTATGGAATCACGGTTATTTTACCTTTATTTTTCAAGGTCAGCTGAGTGATGTCTTGTAGAAAATTAACTTGACTTTGTAAGCATGTCTTAAAGAATACCATTTCCTCCCTTGCCAATGTAACACCAAAAGCCTCTTTCAGGTACAACTGTATATGTCTGTGCATATAATTCTGACCCCTTGATTGCTAACTCTAATTGACCTATACCCATTTGCTATCTAATGCTATTGAGAAGGACTCTTTGCTTTTATTTTGTTTTTAAACACTGTCAGGAGTACTGAACCCTACTGAAGAAAATATTACTGTTCTCAGTCTTCAAAAAAACTTGCCCTCGGTCTGAGATGGATGGACAGTGGAACCAACAGGACCTGATGAAGTCACTGGAGATGATGTTCTCACCTCACCCACTAAAATCAAATATAAAACCCCCAGCTGTTAGCCCGGACAGCACAGTCTTCTCTTGCAGTGGATCAACAAACTCAACTTTTCTCTACTCTTGATTATTGGGAATTTCTTTTGTGGCACCAGTGGGGAGCAGAAACACCAAAATGACACCTAGAATTTGGAGGCAGTTTTATTTATGTCAACGAGCACTGATCGGGATCATTCTCAGATTATCAGGCCTCGATCTCTGGTGATCCAGGACTTTTATGTGATGCACCAGCAGGAGGTACAAAGTAGGTAGAAAGGGGAGACAGGACAGCCTGGCAGCTCTTCTGATCAGCTAGCAGGGTAAGATCACTGGCTACATAGTTAGATTAATGACTATCAGTTCAGGAAGCTTGATACAGTGGTACAATCAAGCATATTGCATGTTCTATTACACTGTCATGGTTACAGAGGTCAAGAAAGTAATTACAGAGCCCTGAAGCAGTTACAGAGATAGGCAGTTTCAAAAGAATACATTTTTAAAAAGAATAATTTCTCCTGTACCATTTTCCCTTTCACTCTTACACACCTCTTGAAGATATTTATCTTTGCCAAATGTGCATTTGTTTTCGCATGCAAACCCTCTCCCCTTCTTCTCCTTGCCCTATTGTTGCCATAGGATTCCCATCTCTAGCTGTTCAGTGAGCCTACTCTTCCTAATCTTCCCACAAGTTAAGAATAGAACTCATTTCTCCTTTAATGTGTCTCCTGTTGATTCCCAGGCCTCTGACCATGGAACCTAAATTTGCACATAAGAAGGTTTTTCCTTGGGATAGCATGTCTGTATGTGTGTATTTGGAGTGAGAAGGAAGGAGGGGAAGAGAATTCTCTCCTTGGCACATTCAAGAGCTAGTGACACAGGTGTAATAGAAAGTATATTTAGTTTTTGTTCCTCATGCCTGTGATGGAGAACTCCTGCATTTCCTGAGCATAGGAACATGTTTGTTACTTATACAAGCACCTTTGAATCATTCCTGAGTTTATGGTAATGAGGTGGCTTGGGTAGGATCCCTAACAGTCTTTTTATTATTATTATTTTTTTGGTACTGGGGATCAAACTCATGACCTTGCGTTTGCCAGGTAGGTGCTATGCCACTGAGCTAAATCCCAAATACTTTAATATGCTTAAATAGTCTTACTTTAATAGTCTTAGATTACCAAAAACCCAAATTCTTAGAGTGGGAACTTTCAGCCACACTTACCTCCAGGAAGCATGGGATGGTGGAGACTGGAGATCGAGCTCTATAAACCTCTTGGAAATGAGGTTCAGTGAGCTTCCAGACTGCTAATATATGAGGTGTTGGGAGGAGAACACACTCAAGAAGGTCACCCCACATCCTATCCCTTTCTCTCTGCATCGTTTCTGCCTAGCCAGCGGAAGTTAATGATGCAAAATGGACTCGTTTATGCCAAAACTCTAACCAAATGGAAACAGAGATGTCCATAAAGATGCCCTTGATGTGCATTTCTGAAATATGTATGTCCTGCTCATTCTTAACAAGCTTATCTCAGGAATTTCTTGTGCAGTATTTCAAATAAACTAGGGCAGTTGCCATGCAATGGCTGTGTCCATCAAAGAAATAATTCCAGCTTGTCTAATGAGCTCTTGATGCTAGTGAGCCTTGCTTTGAAGTTTCACTGGGGTTTCTTTTCTTTATGTTTTAAAACTCCTCTTTAGCCAAGCATTGTGGTACACAACTGAAACCCCAGAACTTCGGGAGAATGATGAAGCAGGAGGATTGAAGATTCCATATCAATCTGGAGAACTTACTGAGATCCTGTCTCAAATTTTTAAAAAGGGAGGGGGGCTGGAGATATAAGTGATTGTGAAGTTTCTGGGTTCAATCCCTCAAGACTAGAAAAAAACAAACAGATAATAACAACAAAGAACAAACAAAAACCATACTTTGCACTGATTTCTCCATGTGTCCCTAGAATTTTTGTAGACGGCACACCCCCATTTTCAATTCTTTGTTACTGTTGAAAGAGGACCCGGTTGTTGCCTAATCAATTCCAATTTGCCCTTCTAATCTGTTTGCTTTTGGAGTTATTTCTCCTCTCAAATTTTTCACAAACTTTAGGAACAGTGAGTGTGGCAGGTAAATACGCTGTGATCAGAATAAAAACTGTTCTGGAGCTATGAATGGTGACAGGTAACTATAATCATAGCACCCTGGGAGGTTGAAGCAGGAGGACTGAAAGTTTGGGTCCATCCTGGGCCACTTAGTGACTTAACAATACCCTGATTCAAAAA